ATATATAAAGTATTTATTTAAGTAATAAATATACTACTTATATAAAAATATATAATTTTTAGAAATTATATTTTTTGAAAATTATATATATTTCAAAAAAATCATATTTATTATTTTATACATAAGTATTTACATATTTCAAAAAAGTATATTATTTATATAAAAATATATATTTTTAGAGACCATGTATACATATTTAAAAATTATTTTATTTTGAAAATTATATATATTTTATTTAGAAAATATATATACTGTTTTTTAAATATATAAATATATACACTATTTTTTCAGTTCTGTTAAAAAAATCAAATATATAATATATATATCTCGAAAATTTTACGTATTATTTTTTATATATATATTATTTTTATAAATACTTATTACACATATTATTTTTATACTATTTTCATATATACAAACTATTTTTATATACATATTTATTATGAATTATATTTTATGCGAAATGTCTAAAATACTCTTTGATTATATATATATATATATATATATATCAAATATCACAAAATAAATTACAAACATATCACAAAACGAAAATTTATAATAAGAATCTGAAATTGATGAACAAAATTTCTTGAAGTTTTCTCTAAAATTTAGACTCCCTTTGGATATATCAATTAATATCTGAAAACAACAATTATATTACACACTAACATTGAAAATAAATTAAATATATAACAAAATAATTTAACATATTTACTTGAAAATTATTTGTGCGAAGGTTGTGATTGAAATTTTAGGTTTAATTTGGTGGAAAGAATGAGAAGAGGAATTTTAAACAGTAATGATATTTGGCTTGAGGGAAGGGAAGAGAAGAATGAAACGCTTAAAATTATAACAAGGAATAAATAATTGAAGTGCTTGAATGGTGTTGATTTTAGCGAGGGGTAGCCCCACGAAAAAGAAACGGTCAAAGCTCGTGTGGGGTAGTCCGTCGCTAATTTATGCATTAGAAACAACCCTGCACGCGCAGTCTGCACACTGCCATGACTACACTAAAGTCGTCTAGCTGACGTGGGGTAGCCCCTCGCTATTATCACGTTGCCAGTTAGCTTGGAGTTGCCCGTCGCAAATTGCAGGACTTTGCGCGTCCATTTATTTTCCTAGGAGTGTGTCCCTCGCAATTCAATATTTTAAAATTCAAAATTTCCCTCTTTTAATTTTGCAAGGGATAATCCCATATAATTTGTTTTTTAATTTTTTTCCTAACCTGCGCTTTGCGAGGGACTATTCTCCAAGCAACCTTATTATTTTATTCTCATGAGTTTAACTCCTGACAAATTTCATTCTTTCTTATAGTGTTTTACTGGTTTTGTAGTGGGGTAATTTTAGTGCACCTCTTTGTTTGTTATATAATTGTATGCAATTCTACAACATCATTTATGTACGGGTGTATCAGGGGCATTACTAATTCCTACTTTAATTCAATTGATTTTTGCTTGTTTTAAAAAAAATCAATCCTAAATAAAAGTGAATAGAATTTCAATTTTTTAATTTCATTCTTTTTCTTAAACCTTTATTAGTTACTACAAACAGAATGAATGAATAAATTAGCATAAAAAAAGAAATAAAAGAATGCACCCATAAATGTGAATTTTTATTTCAAACATGAATATGAATGGGATATTCACACAATCGTCCAATAAAAAATTACTAAAAATAACTACCAAATACTAGTACTTGTTTTATTAGATATTATTCTGTTTTTCTTTTTCTCTTTTTCCACATACATAAGATTTTGTGATTTCTCTTAATTTGATCATTCTTTTCAGAGTTTCCACGTCGTTTTTGTTGTTTTTGTGTATTGAATCTCAAATTCAATCGGCATGGCCACCTCTGATCTGTCATTGCTTTTACCAAGGGTTCTCATAGTTTCTCGACGTACCATTCGCAAGAACAAGTTTGTAGATTTTGTTGGTAAATACTCTCTACCTTTTTCTCTTACTCATTTTATTTTACTTATTATTGTTACAATTATCAACCTCTTAGGTCACCCATGTATAGTTTTAATTGTTTACTCATTACTTTTGTGTGATAAAGACATTAGGTACCTACCTATTAAAAAATATATAACAGATTTCTTTCCACTTAATCAGAGATCATATCTCTCCACTAGAGAGATTATAGTTTCTTCTGTTACGCAGAGGATATCTGTTAGAAATTTGGGTATGATAATCCTGGATAACTTCGAAGAATCGTGTTCGTACACTTTCCGAACAAAGTATTTCGACCCTATTCTTGTCTGGGTTCACGAAATCTTTGTGGGGATAATTCTTGAAGAACAATCTCTTTTCTGGCAAAAGAAAACTGATTACAAATGTAGAGAGAAAGTATTGTTTTTCGTTCGTATCTGAAACCGAGGCCAAATGACTCCTTATATAGGAGATCAATAACTGAAACCGAAAAGACACACCTGTTCGGAAAAACGGTTATGTCGGTTGGGGACCGAAAAGACACACCTGTTCGGAAAACGGTTATGTCGGTTGGGGAAAAGGATTCAAAATTTTCGAACGGGGCGCTGCCCCGCACCCAGCCAGGGGCTCCGCCTCTTGGACCCCAACGGGGCGCTGCCCCGTACCCCGCCAGGGGCTTCGCCCCTTGGAACCCCGTTTCAATTATTCATATTCAATTATGCATTGGCTCGACGAGCGTGCACTCCGCACTTCCCTAACTCGTTTCCGAACTTAACGCATAATTGCATCGGCCTTTAGTAAATCACATTACTACTAAAATACATTGGTGATACTAAAATCACCAACAATATCCGGTTTATAGAAAAAGATATTATTATATTGAATAAATTTTAACTAGTAATACACTGAATTGAACAGGTGAGTATCATCTTGATCTGATTGTAAGATATGGAGCTGTTCCAATCATTGTCCCTAGAGTCAGTGGAATTCACACTCTCTTAGATAGCTTTGAGCCTATCCATGGTGTTCTTCTTTGTGAAGGTGAGGACATTGATCCCTCTCATTATGATGATCCTGAACTATGTGGACTTACACCTCAAGAGCTTGAGGCTATTAGGGAGCTTCACCCAAGTGATGCTGCCATTGATAAAGAGAAAGACTCCATTGAGCTAAGCCTTGCAAAACTCTGCCTTGAAAGAAATATACCTTATTTGGGTATATGCAGAGGCTCTCAAATTCTTAATGTTTCATGTGGAGGCACACTTTACCAAGATATTGAAAGAGAGATAGGGGAGAAAAACCATGAACTTCTAAGAGTGGTTCACATGGACTATCTAAACTATGATGGTCATCGACATTCCATAAATGTTATCGCAGACACCCCTTTGCATGATTGGTTTAAAGATTCTTTTGTGGATCAGAAAACGGAGATCATGGTCAACAGTTACCACCATCAAGGTGTTAAGAGACTGGCACAAAGATTTGTTCCAATGGCATTTGCTCCAGATGGTTTGATTGAAGGATTTTATGATCCTGATAATTATAGTCCCAAAGATGGTAACTTTATTATGGGACTTCAGTTTCATCCAGAGAGAATGAGGAACCATGAGAGTGATGAATTTGATTATCCTGGATGCAGTATGGCTTATCAGGTACATACACTTTTTGTTCTTACTCTTTTTGCAATGCATGTGAAATTTCTATAAGAAATAAAATTGAAGAAATTTTGTTAATGTTTGTGAAATAGGAGTTTGCAAAAGCTGTAATAGCTTATGAGAAAAAACTTAGCAGCTCAATACTTGTCCCCAAGTCTCCAAAGCTAAATGAGGAACTGGAACAGAAGAGAAAACAGATTGTGAAAAGCTTTTCAGTTGCTAGAGACATGTATAAGTCCGATTCTCATGTCGATGTGAACCAAAGTTCTGAACTTAAACCAGGAGCAGACTTTCTACAGGTTACTCAAAAGCTCTATCTACTCTTTACATTGTGTGGCTAAAGTATACAAAAACCCGTCATGTTGGTTCTGTACTTAAACGGACTGTATTGCCAAAATTTATATACTTTGGAAACTAGTTAGTATAAACTGGATTTATCTTTATGTGATAATGTTTGGTTTTACAGGCAAGTACAGCACTGAGTTTGCAGCAGGAGAATAGGCTAAAGCAGGTTGGTGCAACATATAGAAATGGTTCGAGTTATGCACAAAAGATGAAAATGAATCAGATGAGGGAGAAGGCAGCTAGGAACATGATTTCGAATATGTCTGTAGAACAGTTAACAGAATTGGTGACATTCTATGGATTGATGCATCAGATATGTTCTGAGACAATTGATAGAAAGATGAATGAACTACTTGTAGAAGAAAGTTGACAGTAAAGTAGTAGAATTACAAGTGTGCAAAAAATTTTGATATATTTTTTGTTTGTTTTATCTCCATTTCAAATATGATAAGAGACACAAATTATCTTTTTGTTTTATTTCCTTTAGTCAGTTAGTGAAATACTAACTTTTTTTCCTTTTCTAACTAGATATAGACTTTCAAGTTTGTAAGCAAACCATTAACTTTATACCAGTTGGAAAGCTATCTTGTCAATTTTATACAGTTTTGGAGTGATTTGAGGTGTATAGAGAATATTTTAACATGTCTTAATGTTATATCCAAAGATCAACTTTGTGTGGCGTTATAGAATCGAATGTTGTTAGAGTTGTTGGTTTAACATTGTAGTTCCTTTTGTTTTCTTGTACTTTTACTTTTCCCGTTTATAAAAAAAAACAAGTAGTTGCACAAAAGAATAAAAATATGACCACAAGCATATATGAAAAACACTTATAGCAGCCTCTCTTCATTGTAGATAGCTTGTGTCAAACAAGCCACCAAAGGAATCACGAATTTAGGGATATATGCCAAGAATATGGTGAAAAGTCTCGATCTAGACCTTGTTGACAGCATAGAAAATAATTGAGGAGAAACTTGATTTATCATACAAAAATCCAATACTACATCACAAGATATTGTTGTGACAGCATTAAATCCATTTAATAATTTATCATACATAGTAGGTCTATTCTATTGTAACATTTTATTATTATAATTTGAATTTTGTTTCCCTTAAATTAAGCTATAGTATTTTTGCAGTAATGGAAATAAATAGAAGACCAGAAAATTTCACCCTACAGACAATTTCATTGATATCAAAACTCAACCAAAGAGTTATACTAGTAATTCAGCTAACAAAACATAACTATAGTAATTCAGATACAACTTTGGGGCAATTTAAGCATGAGTTACATACACTTAACAGCAACACCATAACCACTAGATCTCTTCCCTATATGGTGATCATCAGGACATCAAAAAAGCAGCCTGTTCTGTTCAACAAAACCATACCGACATAGATATATTTAGAAAAGAAACAATTGATGTAGGACTCGTCGATGTTAGCAAAACAAAACAACCTCACAACAAACATCAGCCACCACTCGTGAAGCATCTCTTAAATTTGTACATCCACCATCAACACATTACAAACCGCTGCTTGTCTAGAACTTTGCTTCTTTTATTTCGACTTTTACTCTTTCTGATTCTTTTGCATATTACAGCAGAAAGTTTCAAAGGAGACTCTTAACATCTTTTATACCTTTTCTTTTTTTTCCTTCATGTCAAAAAGGTGATTAATTCCGATTTCATAAAGTACAACATCTAAGAATTGGGCCAGAGGAGGGATTGGAAAACAGCAGGACCAATTCTTAAGGGTTACATGCGTGAACCGCGTTCACGCAATCAACGGCTGAAAAACAGGAAATCTGGGTGACTGACCTGAAGCAGTCTTAACCATTTATCAGCATTCTGTAAAAGAGAGTTGGATAATTGGCGCTCGTATCCACCACTTGGAGTCCACAGGGGTCCCTTGAACTTGTATGAGGCAAGACCAAAAACAGGTAAAGATATTTTTGGGACACCATCCATCTCGGTTGGATGTGATGGTACAGGAGGCTGCACTCTTTGTAAACCTGAAAAGGAGAATAATATTTGTTCCATTAAAGCAGCTGAAGCGAAATACGAATTGGACAACTGGTTATCATCACACATCTGTAACATCTTGCAATGATTAAACCATGGATATAAATTAAGCACTTATAGCTGGCAGTGTAAGCTTATATAGAAACATTAGCCATGATTGAACACAACACAAGTCTGTGGTAGATGAGGACGAACAATCAACACCAGGAATTGGAAAATGAAATTCTGATTTTCATAATTTTAACAGTCGAGGCAAAATCATCACGTTTTACAAAACTTTTGAAAATGTGTAAAACAAACATGACACATTGTGACAGTCACTTAGCATCAAAATAACCTAATTGTTGTCGAGCTAGCCTATACAAGTGTTTAAGCTACAATCATTTAATTAAGTTGTTTATCCATTTAAAGCGTTAACACTAAAAGCCTAATACAAAATGCCAATCGAAGTAGAAAATTCATTCATTTAAATAAAAATAAAAACTCATGTAAAGTAATAGACTGCTCAGTTATCATCACTTTCTCAAATATGTTATAAAGCAAAATCCAACAACTAAAATGAAGGAAAATTCATCCTACCTCCCAGAGGTGTAGAAAGAGAATGGTATGTCAGAAAGCACGCATCGAGATCTTTTAATGTTTGACCCATTGGAATTCTATATATAGGATACCTACAAACCAAACATAGAACCAGGTCAGTCCCATGTGCATATGCGTAAGTAGAATGTCGAAGTACATAATTTAAAGAAGAATACCATGCTACAGATATCCAACTTGATGATAGTATATCACAACTTCTAAGTGTCAGCAGTTGAGGGAAACGAAAAGCAAGGTCCATCATCTATCCAACACAAAAAAAAAAAAAAGAGGATTAATCAAAAGCTAAACAAACTTATGGAAATAACAAACTTCCATGGATTTGGCAATGTAGAGTCAGCGAGTTATGACACCTTATCAGCCAAAGGTTCACGGCCATAAGGAGTGTCCCGTTCAAAATACTCGAATAGCAAGTAGCCCTGAGAATTGATAGATTCACCATCATCACTAGAAAAGCCATCTTGCAGGAGAGTATGTTGATTTCTCACAGATAATCTACCCATCCAATTAGATAAGTCATCCGAGAGATGGGGAAGATTCCTTTGTTCCCTATATCCTCTAGCAGGTTCACAATCACTGCTACCATCACTACTTGAGTCCCTGAAATCACTGTCACTGTCATCGCCTAGTTGCCTATGACAGAAGAAAACAATAATATATTAATAAGGTATTATGGGTTGCCCCTTAGAATGAATGTTCACCAAAATCAATCTTCCACCAAAGCAAGCAATATACCTTGACTTCACAGGTGGCTTGACAGTCTGGGCATAAATTTGAATCCCGGAAAGATAAGGAACATAATATTGAACAACACTATCTTTGTCATTAAGTACAAGCGGCACTCCAGCACCGTAAGCACTCCACTCCCTGAATGATTCCCACAAATCACCAAGAACAAAGTAAGGTGGAACCTCCTCACTACATGTCCTAAAGCTTCTTGAGTTCCTCTGCCGTATCCAAATTCAATCAATAAAGAAAAACAAATCTTCACATCGATAACCATACAATTCCCTAATCACATTTTCTATTAAAGAAACTCATGGACGTCATTAATAATCTCTTTCAAAAATTTCCTTTTGGACTCCTAGTAAAATGCAGACAAAAAAAAATACCACAATAATAATCAAGCAAACTAGTGCTTACTTGTATTGTATTGTTATAGTATTTATTTTGATTTTACAAAAAAAAAACTTTAGGCAAATATCACTGGCATTTTAATACTATTAAATTAACAACAAATAACATTTAATAATGTATTAAATATGATTATCTTCCATAAAACTTCCTTATCTAGTACTTTCTATTTCGCGTTTAGCACATAAGTAAAAACTGGCTTTGATTGACCAGCCACTTCCTGAATCGAAATCAAAACCAAAAATCGATAAATCCGATGAAAAACCGATTTGACTCTACATATAGAAGTTACCACATAATGAATTAGACCCATAACTTTCATTCTTTCATTGATTTCTCAAAACCATGTGTGGCCAAAAGCTTAACTTTATGTCATAGTATCAATTTATTAAAATTCATTATCCATGTGCTTATTGTTCTACCCCTGATTGAATGCATCGGTCTCAAACAAAAACAAAAAAACACAAACATTAAAACAAAACTTCAGTTATTCCAACCATTAAACATACTAAATCAAGCAAAAATAAACCTTAAATAAACCACAAGCTCCATTAACTAAAATAGAAGGAAAAAAGAACAACCTTAGAAAGATGCTGAGCATGCACAGACGGCGTAACCGATTTCAAAAACCTCTCCAAGTTACTCAACCGCTTCACCTCCGTTTCACACGAAGTCACAGCAACTACTTTCTTGCTCTCTTCAGACCCAACCCGTTTCTTCTCCTTCTCAACCGAATCCATAGATTTCTCTCTAATCACCGACCGACTCGGCGTCACATCACTATGAGCTCTACGAATCCTCTCATTCTCCGCCGTGTGTAACAACCGGCGAGCTTGCGGCGGATTATAAAACCGATCCTCACCACGACCACGCGAGAAGTTGATGCTAGTACCCAACATTCCTAAGGGTGCGAAAAAAATAAGACCCAGATACCAAAATCGGAACTTTTTCAAATGGGTATTTCAAAAAACCTCAACTGTAGTCAACGGATGAAGCTATTAAAAATTTCGATAGAAACGAAGAAGGAGATGATCTATGGATGTGAAGATTGAGAATTTAGGGTTTGTGGAAATTGGGGTTTTTGTTGAAAAGCGTTATTGGAGTTGAATTGAAAAAAGCGAAGTGAGTGTTTGAGTTAAATAAAAAAGGGGGAACGTGGAGAGAGTCAGAAAATGGATCTGGTTTATGTTGTACTCAGTGGAGCTAGAAGGGTAGGGACGAAGGGTAAATGAGTAATTTCAATGAGGGAAAACGAAGAGTAAAAGAAACAATAAATAAAACAAAACAAGTGTTATTAAGATTGGATTGAAGAACGAACTAGTTCCCTGTCGTTGAAGGCCAACCACGAACTAAACGTTTTAATGTTTTTTTTATTTTTTAATTATTAATATTGGTTATTTTTTTAATAACTTTTGCTTATATTTAAATTTAAATCTTTTTTTTTTACTTATAATTATGAAGAAGTAATTTAAATTTAAAATTTTTTTTTTACTTATAATTATGAAGAAGTACTAGTATTTCTCTCTATAAGTAATATCAAAACTCTAAATATTCTTATTTTGACATGTCATCATTTTTGGGATGATAAGGATAATTGTTTATAATTTAAAATTCTAAATTTTGCTTTTCTCTCTCTTCTTTTTTGTCTTTTCATTTCAAATTTCAACTCACGCCAAATTGTTTTTGTTTTCTTCATTTGAAAATCTCAAAATTTTAAACTTCCCTCTCTTTTTACTTTTGCTCCATTTTCCATCGTATTCTTTTCTTTTTCTTCTTTACTTCTTTATTTCTCCTTGCTATTATTCTTCTAATTCTTTGAGTATCATTTATTTTCTTAATTTATCTTCAAAAGTTTTATGGAAAATTGGAATTAAACTTAGAAATTCAAATAAATTTGATTAAAATTAGTAAGAGACTCGTGCGTTCATATAAATCGAATAAAATCAAAAATATATTTTAAAAAATATAAATTTACTGATTATATTTTAAAAATGAATCTTATCATATACGAAGAAGAAAAATATATTTTATATAAGAATTGTTTTATAAATATTTATTTTATTTATTAGTTTAGTTTGTAGTAGTTGTTAATTAGAAATTATATATGAATATATGGTTTCAGGCACAAATAAAAAATATATAAAAAGAGAGAATAATTTTGATATTTGAATTGATAAGTGGTAAAAAGTTTTTTGTCCAACACAAAATAAATCAAATAAATATTGATGTAGAGAGTTAAATGTATTAGGATACAAAGAGATTTCTTGTATACCATGGCCCAAATGTGTTAGGATACAAAGAGACTTCTTGTATCTTTGTGAAATTAGGGTTTTGGATCTTTGCAAACATTCCTTCTGTTTGCATCAGCTTCCAAACGCATAGCTACTGGATTGAGGTCGAAGCAGACAGGCGAAGGGTACTAGATTCATGTTTGGACTGAGGAAGTCATGTCATGGATACATTTTAGTTGATCATTTGTCATAAATAAGATAAGTAATTGTTTATCTGTTATGATTGTATATTGTTAATGGTTCATTTGCTTTCCATTGTATTTTGATTTGTTGTATAAAATGCAAACAAAACTCCATAAACGTGTACATTATGTTTGACAAATGAATTTGTGATACGGTGGGAGAACTGACTTGAACGTTTTGCGTTTGATCGCAAATGTTGCAGTTAGTAAGAGTCGCCACCGACTTTTCTTTTATCCAAAAGGAAAGGTGAAAAAGCACAGGAAAGACCTTTGAGATTATTTCTTGAGTTTGGGGGTAGATTATGAAAAGAGAATGTATTAGCACCCTTTTCATCCGTGGTTATCCATGGGCTCTTAGTTACTTGCTAGATCACTTGCTTTTGTTTGAAATTATGCTTTGTGTGGTTTTTGAAAGTATTTCATAAAGAGACCATTGTTTAGGCAATCTTTGTAATGATTCTCGTTCGTAAGAATGTATTCAAAGATGTTGATCTTTTGAAAATGTTTTCAAGTTTTGTAAGATGTTTTGAAAGTATAAGTGTTTGTTTTTTAAAATAGCAAGGATGTTTGTTTTGAAATGGAGCAAGTAATTATGAGCAATCTACCTACTCAAATGTCTTTCTTGTTCATTTCTTTTCCTTTGACATTGTTGTCTTACCATTGATTTGGTAAGCAACCCTATCTTTGGATGTAAACGGAACGGGCATGGGTCATCGTATAACCATGATTAGCAATGTTGCAAAGTATCTTAGCATTCTTTTTTTAAGGACTAAGATCATTTGTAAGGCAACTTAGATAGCGTCATCGAGGGACTATGATCTTGTATTTACTTGTTCTTGCTAAGATGCCTCACATGTGTAATATGGATATTTTGTGTAAGGCAACCAAGTGGAATAACCCTAGGGGTGTTCGTGTGCAAGTGCATCATTTTCATGCTTGTTTTTGTCTTGAATTAGGGTTTTCTAGATATTGGCTTTAGTCTTTCCATACAAACCCTAATTACTAGCATGTTATGTGAAAGCGATAAATTGCGAAATTTAAAGTTACTACGCTATTACAACATTTGTGGGGAGGGGGTGTACAATTCATGAATGGGGATTGCAAGAATTTAAACATAATTAGTCTATTACAACCATATTGAATTGATATGAATATACAAGGAATTGAATAAATACAAAGTATAAAAATGAATAAATGTACAAGGATACAAAATGTAGAAAAAATGAATTTTGTTTAGTTTTCATGAAAAAAAAAGATTTTGTCTTAACCTAATTAAATAAAGAAAATAGTTAATTAAGTTTGAATTTATTAAGACAAGATTTTAAATGAAAACCCTAATTCTATTAATTAATCAAAAGAAAATAAGTTTAAGAAAAGTATTTTTTTTGGTATTTTTTATCTTGAAAATATTTATGGCATTATAAATTATTTTTAGTCATTTTTATATTAAAAATAATGTATTTTAAATGGTGTAATAAATAAATAAAGACATAATATTAATTAAGTTTACAAGATTATTTAATGAAATAAATAAAGTATAATAAATAAAAATATTTTTTATGAGAAAAATAAAATAAAATAAGTCAAAATATAAATATATCATTTTTTTATATTTTATGATTTTTTGTATTTAGAAAAAATATATTTAAGAAAAGATAAATGAAATAAATAAATAAATAACTTGGGCCAGGGGGTGCCAAGAGCCAATGTGGAGGTCAGCTAGCAAATACAAAAATAAACCAGGCCCAAATGGCCCAGCGCCTGCCAAACAAAAAAAAGTCAGAATTGTAAAAAAATATGAAAAAATGAAGAAAATAAAGGGTACCACTAGGGCTCGAACCCATGTCCCATAGGTTACAGGCGCGTGCTTCTACCACTGGTGTGGCCATACATCCGTTAATACAAGTAAAACAATAAATATGTAAGGCAAAATGCGCCCTGAAGACTTCATCTTCAACCTCCAGCTAGACCATCTGTAACTTTCTCATTTCTCATCAAAAATGAAAACTGTAAACATGAAACTTGTAGAAAATTTTCTCACGATTCCATAAATGTAAAGTATTAAAACTATAGATCAAAGATAAGCAAGAATTTTAATGGCCCTAATCTGAACCCTAAAAATTTCAGAAATTTCAGTTTCAAAATTCTCTAAGCTCAAGCAAAATTAATGGAAACTAAGGACATGGTTAGCTTCAGGGCAATGATATCTACATGTTTTATTCACAAATAAATTATTGATGATGTCTGTATGAAGAGTTTCAAGTTGAGAAAACTTACCTCAAAACTGGAAATCGTGTTTGGAGTTTGAGCTTGTTTCAAGTGATGGTGATGATTAGGTTAGCTTTCTTGAGGTCCTAGGAAGCTAATGCAATGGTTTGCTCAAGTTGAGAGTGGCTGAAATGACTTGGAGAAGTCAAGTTGCAGACTCTGTTTTTTGGTTATGAAAGTTATGGTAAATGGTGTTACAGTTCTGGAATAAGGATATGGATGAGTTGTATTTGATGTAAGGAAGCTTTAGAAACTAAAAGGCCAAGAAACGCACGAGGGAAATGGGAGTTTGATGTTCAAGGTCAAAAACTGTGCAACAATGGAGTTTTTGGGAAATTTATGATTTGAGAGAGTTTTGGTGAATTTCAGGGTGCTCAAGCTCGTGTCCTAGCTCACAAATAGTGAGTCTATTTATAAGCAACAAGTTTGGAGTGCTCTAGTTGATCAGAATTCAAGTTTACATGTTTAAGTTAAACATGTGATTTTTTGACAAAACAAGTTTCCATGCCTTGCGTACTTGCTAAGATAGAGTGGTTATGCTTTAAACAAGCTTGCTTCTAACTTTGTGGATAGAGTGTGATCAGAGGGAACAAGTTAGAGGCTCAATGTGAACTTTATGCAAAAAGCTTGCTTTACAAGAATGGCATTGTTAACTTTGTGCCATAAATGGAAATGCAACTTGGACAATAGCTCAATTGCTTGGATCAAAGCCCTAACAGCTGTGTAAATATTTAATCATGGAGTGAAAAACATGTTTGAGTCCTGCAAAGCAAAGATTATGCAGCCTAGCATGGATTTGGTTCATGTGTTCATCAAAAATGACTTGTAATTCAAGTGACAAAACCCTAACTTCATCTCTTCGATTCTCACTCCTCGAGAATGATCTCAAGGAGTTCTTGGACATTTTTGAAATCTTGCAATGTGCTCTACAACCCATATTTGAATTGATTTTGAATATTCCCCTTGGAGCTATATGAAAAAGTGCCATGAAGTTGGGTCAAAATCCTGACCAAATTAGGGCAAAATTTCACTAAGTGTTTAGTTTCATGACCCTATGTTCATAAAATTATAACTTGAGACCCAAGCATTTTTGGAAGAAGTTGTGTGAATCAAAGTTGTATATTTCATTGAGATCTACAACTTTTATGTTGGGAATTTCTCTTGAATCATATTGCATCATGGTGAAAATTTGGCTCAAAGTTATGAAAAAACATGAAATTTCCAACACTTAGAAAAATTTCTAAGTTTAGAAATTTTGACTTTTCAAAATGAAATCTTGACTTTTTGATTTCTTGATGAATAAGTTTCATATTTTGACATGTTTTTCTGAATTGTGATCTTTGGCACTTGAATTTGACCAAAAAGTCAAAGTTTGACTTTTCAGTATACAGTTGACTTTTGATCAGTTGACTGCAAAATTCATATGTCAATCCAATGGACTTGCAATGTTTTGAACCATGCCATTAGGTCAAAATGATGCAATTGGATTCTTAAGGTCATGCCTTAAACCAATTGACCATTTTCTAAGTCAAAAATCAGAAATTTCCCTTTCCCAGTCAAAACCCTAATTTTGACCATTTTGCCCTTTTAGAGATTTGATCAAATTTTTTGAGGAATTGTGGTCCAAACTTTATCAAATGATACATAGGATTTTAAAATATTGATATGGATTAATAATTATGAAGTTTGACTGTAAATTGATCATGATTGACTTTTTCCCTAATACAGTTGATTTTTAGGTCAATTGCTCAATTGACTGAGCAAAAATGTGATCCAAGGCTTGAAACTTGACATGAGCAACCTTGGGGGTCCATAATGATCCATGAAAGTCATATGGGGCATATAAAGTTCAAAAATCTTTGTGCAATCTCAAACCCTAATTTTGGTCATCAGTGCATAAGGAGGTGTCTTGAGCTGATCAAACCCTAATACAGTCTTGAGCCCAAGGAGATCTTGTGAGCAAATTCTTGATAAGTGAGAGGGAAAATTTTGGGGTACAACAGAATCCTTTATACATGGAATATAAATTATTGAGATGATTTTAGCATATTCAACTATGTTTACTTTATTATTTTTTATTAAATTAAATATTTATGTAACAATGGTACATTGCATTTGTTATATTGATATCGAAATTTCAGCGGAAACACGGCTATGGAAATGATTGATCATATGGTGATGGAAGTTGTTGAACCTTCTGTAAAGAAAAAAATCTGTTAAGAAATGGGTGAATGCTATTAATAAAGGTATGGGTAGTAATACAGATGCCAAAAAAGTTGATGTTGTGAATGCTAAAGCATGGGCTAAGAAATGTGTGAGTAGTAATGTAGTTGCCAAAAGTTACGATGTTGTCAATGTTAAATCAATTGCTAAGAAGGGTGTGAATGCAGTTATTAAGAAGGGTTTGAATACTAATGGTATTACAAAAAATGTGGAGGTTGCAAAATCATCATTGGAAAATGGTCAACATGTTATGAATCCTATCAAGATAGAAGATGAATCTGATGACGATAACCAATTTTCACAAAGCCTGAAGAAGGTGAATAAAGTTGAAATATCAGTTGCAAAGAAGAAACAGGGTACTGAGAAGTTACAGGTTGTAGGAAATGTGATTTGTATCATAGGGGGGAATAGCTTTCTAAGAAAGTTTGTATGGTAATGATGTTGAAAAAACAAAAATGCAAAGAGGAAAGGATGTTATGAAATAATCTAATGGTAAAAATGTTTTACAAAGCATGAGTAAGGTGGGTGGTGATGATAAATCAGTTGAAACAAACGCGAGTGTTGGAAAAAGAAACCGGTTAGAGGTAATGGTCTATGAGAAAAAGTGAGGAAACCTTATGATTAGAATAATATTGTTTCCAATAAAGTTTGTCAAGAAAAAGAAAGGGGAAACTATGTATATGTTTGGGAAAGCACCATAGAAGATGCAATTAGAAAAGCAAGAAACATAATGGTAAGCGTATATCCAAAAAATATTGTATCATTTATAATTGATATTCCAATGCTGATAATTAATGTGTTTTTGTAATCATTTGCAGCACCTTCCTGGAATTTTAGCTGAGAAATGCATCAGGAAAAATTAGAAGGAGAACAAGTTGGTTGATGTTGGAGCGAGTAAGAGCTTCAAATGTGCAATTCACACGGCTAGCGAAATAATCATCCAACCAAAAATGATAAGTACATGGCTCAATGGTGGTATGAATATTCCAAAAGCAGGAAGTTGTGTAATGGAGACACACAGGGGCGGATCCAGTGTGGTGTGAGGGTGTGCATTTGCACACCCTGAAATTTTAAAATTTACACCAGTATTCTTATATTTTTATATTTTGACCACCTTGAATTTTTTATTTTGCACCTTGAGCCCAACACTCTCAAAACCTAAAATTACCCTCTTAATTTAATTTTTCACTCTCTCTCTACATCTCCCACAAACCCTATATTCTCTCATATTTTTTCTTTCACGCTTCCATGTTCTTCCAGATACCACCACTACAGGCAGCGAAACTATCACACCACCGTCAATCTTAGTTTTTTTTCATTTCATTATGAAGTTATGTTCTCCTTCTGCAACAACGTTCAATAGTCGCTCTTTCTCTCACTTACAGTTTTTGTCAATTTTGGGAGTGATTTTGCACACTACTTTGTGATTTGTTGTCGAATCAAAGTCGACTTAGAACCTTTAATCTTCAACATTGAACCATTAAGGTAATTTATTTTGATTTTAAAGTTTTGTTAATTTAGGGTTTTTTAAAATTAGAAATTAAGATCTTATACTTTTGCCTGTCTCAGAGAATTGAGGGTAAACTTTGTTTAATTCAGTGTATGATTTATGAGTTGATGGAAGATATTCATGGTTTGTGTATTGTATGTTTGGAAGGAAAAAATAGAGGATGATAATTTATGTTGATGTAGATTTTACGACATTGTGAATAGTTGTTTCTGGGTTTGGTAGTTATATAGTTGTTGTGAAAAAGTAGTGATAAATTGATGAACAACAATGTTGAACAAAACCTTGAGATGTTTGAGGTGAGACACATATTTTTATTAAACACTGAATGCATTTTTGCTTTTGTTCTTGTTTGCTCTCAAGTCTCAAAGACAATACTTGTTTTTATATACTAAGTGTTTTGTTCTATTAGATTTACTTGATGCTTTTCTCTATGAGAAATTTGGATAGAGAAATTATAAGAGATAGATTGTTGTTAGTTTATTCATAAATAAATAAATAAGTAGCTTGTAGAAACTTAGATAGAGAATATTACAAAAGATTACTTTACTGTTAGTGTGATCGGTGGATCTGGAACTGACTGTTTTAAAGCTGGTTCGCGAAATGTCGCGGAAGCAAGAGTCGCCACCGTCTTTTATTTTCTCCAATTGGAAAGGACAAAAGCACAGAAAAATTCCTTTAAAGAGATTGCTCTCGGTTCGGGAGGTAGGTTATAGAAAGGGAAGGTGTTAGCACCCTTTCTATCCATGGTTATCCATGGGCTCTTAGGTACTTGCTCAATGTGTTTTCAAAATGTGTGCTTGCTTTTCAATGTGGGTTTCAAAAATATTCTTTGAAAAGCTTCAATTCAACTCGTACGTCAGAGTGTTCGAAAAGTTTGTTTTGAAAGTTTTTGAAAGTGTGTCGGTGTGAAAAGATTTCAGTTTGTTTTGAAATTAGAGCAAGTACCTAAGAGCCCATGGATAACCATGGATAGAAAGGGTGCTAACACCTTCCCTTTCTATAACCTACCTCCCGAACCGAGAGCAATCTCTTTAAAGGAATTTTTCTGTGCTTTTGTCCTTTCCAATTGGAGAAAATAAAAGACGGTGGCGACTCTTGCTTCCGCGACATTTCGCGAACCAGCTTTAAAACAGTCAGTTCCAGATCCACCGATCACAGAACTGGCGACTCTGCTGGGGAGAAAAGATACTCTAGCGATCATGCTGGAAAGCGATACTCTGTGGGAAGAGTGATGCCTTGCTGAATGTTGACAGTAACTCCGTTGGGGATACCGTTGTTGTGTTGGAAGTGTGAATAGACTTCGCTGGGGATAGGAAAGAACTACGTTGACGACGACCTTCCCTTGGCTTTTGGCTGAGGATAACCCAGTTATATCCTGTTGAGGAAATAACTCTTTAAATCAAGCCAGACGACGCGTTCGTGTCCTGTGAAGGATAAGCTTCCAGAATTTACTGGGGATAAGCTTACTGCTTGGGGAGATGAATTCCATCTTTCCTGGGGAATTTGGATGGGACTCTCCTGGGGAAGTTTTGATATGCTGGGGAAGTGATTCCCTTGAATGTTGATGTATGCCGCCGGGGAACAATCTTTAGACCAAGACTGCCGGGGATGCTTGTTAAGAATATATGCTGCCGGGGAATATTGGGATCTACTGGAGGATACCCAATTTCCTTGAGACTTGTTAACTTTGTTTGGGGAGGAATGTACTGACTTGCTGTCTCACTCTCTGGGGAATTTAAGATGCCTGGTTAGGTTCTTTAGCTGAACCTGCCTTGGTACCTTGGAGGATAGAAAAATTAGACTGCTCAGACAACTCTTTATTGCCCCTGTTTCTAGTGTCACCTGCAATTAATTCTTTGTTTCGTATGCAAATATTTATGAGCTAGCAAATTATTGTCAATGCATATATCACAAATTGAACCTTGGACGTTCTTTACAAAACAAAACAGAAAAAGAAAAACAGTTGGCACGTTTAACTGAAAAGTATAGTTGTATTGATTTTGAATAGCCTGTGAATAGGCGTTTTGTGTACAAGAGGCTGACGTCCTAGTAAGCGGAACGTCGCCGAATAAGAGAGTTTATACAAGTTTTGTACAAAAGAAAATAAACGGCTGTGTGAAATATGAATGATCCACTGGGTTTCAACTCTGCTATTGCCTTTATACCCCGTGCGTCTCATCACTTGATGACCTTGGTTGAAGGTGAAGCTGACTGATCGATGCCGTCTAAATTTGATGTAGATACCGGATTCTGGATGCAAAGTGATCCAATGAGACATAGTATTACGCTTTTATCCCTAATTTTTGCCTGGACCGCCCTTTCGGGTTTTCAGTCCACCGGGATACCCATTTTTGCCCAAGCCGCCTTTTCAGGTTTTCGACTTGCCGGGTGTACAGATTTTTTCATTTTCATCCCTTCATTTTGCCCGAACCCTTTTGGTTCGACGGGAAGCCCTAATTTTTGCCTAGGCATGTCAGCCTAGCGGGTCTTTTTTCATGCGTAGTATTTTTTAACTATGTCTGCATTGGCGGGGTGAGGAAGGTCGTCACCATCCATGTTGGTTAATATCATTGCTCCTCCTGAGAACACATGCTTAACCACAAATGGCCCTTCGTACGTAGGGGTCCATTTGCCCCTTGGATCACTCTGAGGAAGGATGATTCGCTTGATCACCAGATCCCCGACTTGATATTCCTGTGGCCTGACCTTTTTGTTAAATGCCCTGATCATTCGTTTCTGATACGTCTGACCATGACAGATAGCAGCAAGTCTCTTTTCGTCAATAAGGTTGAGCTGATCAAGTCGTGTCTGGATCCAATCATCTTCATTCAGATTTGCATCCTTCATTATCCGGAGAGAAGGAATTTGTACCTCGATCGGCAAGACTGCCTCCATGCCATAAACCAGAGAGAAAGGAGTTGCCCCGGTTGACGTCCTAGCTGAAGTACGATACCCATGCAGAGCGAACGGTAACATCTCGTGCCAATCTTTATACGTTACTGTCATCTTCTGCACGATCTTCTTGATGTTTTTATTAGCTGCTTCTACAGCCCCATTCATCTTCGGTCTGTAAGGAGAAGAATTGTGGTGCTGTATCTTGAACTGTTCGCAGAGCTCATCGATCATCTTATTGTTCAGATTGGTACCGTTATCTGTAATAATCCGCTCAGGGACACCGTACCGACAGATCAGATTGTGCCGAATGAATCGTGCCACAACAGTCTTGGTTACCGTAGCATAGGATGCTGCCTCAACCCACTTCGTAAAATAATCAATCGCCACTAGGATGAAGCGATGTCCATTGGATGCCGTAGGTTTAATCTCACCAATCATGTCTATGCCCCACATTGCAAATGGCCAAGGCGCAGTCAGAACATTCAGGGGAACCGGAGGAACATGCACTTTGTCTGCGTAGACCTGGCATTTGTGGCATGTCCTGGAATGTTGGTAGCAATCAGCTTCCATGGTGGACCAGTAATACCCTGCCCGTAGGATCTTCTTTGCCATGGTATGTCCACTGGAGTGTGTACCAAAGGTCCCTTCATGTAGCTCTTCCATGATTCTTTCTGCTTCAGTCTTATCTACACAACGCAGTAGGGTTGAATCCTGGTTTCGTTTGTACAAGATGTCGTTGCTAAGAAAGAACTTGGCTGCAAAGCTCCTCAGGAATTTCTTATCATTGACAGATGCTCCTTCAGGGTATTCCTGAGCTTCTAGGTATCTCTTCACTTCGTGGTACCAAGGCTTCTCAGTTACCAATTCGGTTTCGAGATCACAACAGTATGCCGGTTCGTCCAGTTTCCAGATGATGATCCGGGGAGCTTCATTATCCCATTTAACCTTGAACATCGAAGACATTGTAGCTAACGCGTCCGCCAACTGATTCTCTTCTCTTGGAAAGTGCTCAAATGTTATCTCTGTGAAGTGGGGGATCAAGGCCAACACACATTCTCTGTAAGGAATCAAGTTTGGGTGTTTCGTATCCCACTCTCCTTTGATCTGATTGATCACAAGAGCGGAATCTCCGAAGACACTCAGAAATTTGATCCTCAGGTCGATCGCAGCTTGAAGACCCATAATACACGCTTCATACTCCGCCATGTTGTTGGTACAGTTGAAACACAGCCGGGCGGTGAGTGGAGTATGAGTACCTTGGGGAGATACGATTATGGCGCCGATACCATTTCCCAAAGCGTTGGATGCTCCGTCAAAATGCATAGACCATCGGGACCCCGGTTCAGGTCCTTCATCCGGTCCAGGTATTTCACAGTCAGTTACTATCATAATGCTTTCATCTGGAAACTCGAAGTTCATTGATTGGTAGTCATCCACAGCTTGATGTGCTAAGTGGTC